GGATGAGAGACAGATGGGATGAGAGACAGATGGGATGAGAGACAGATGGGATGAGAGACAGATGGGATGAGAGATAGACAGGATGAGAGAGGGATGGGATGAGAGAGGGATGGGATGAGAGACAGATGGGATGAGAGACAGATGGGATGAGAGACAGATGGAATGAGAGAGGGATGGGATGAGAGACAGATGGGATGAGAGACAGATGGGATGAGAGACAGATGGGATGAGAGACAGATGGGATGAGAGACAGATGGGATGAGAGACAGATGTCAGGTAAATGGGATGTGGATGTCAGATAAATGGGATGTGAGACGAATGTCAGGTTTTCAAACAAAACTTGGTTATTTCAACCAATGTGGGGTTATTGTCTTTTTCATTCTATGTGTTTATGTGAGTGAATGTCTATTTTAAGTTAAGCGTGTATGTGAGTGAATGTCTATTTTAAGCTAAGCGTGTATGTGAGTGAATGTCTATTTCAGGCTACGGCAATGGCTATGTCAACTTGTACATCGTCACCACAGATTACACCACATATGCTGTTGTGTACTCTTGTATACAACCTTCAAATATCTTTGGTATAAAAATAGGTCAGTCCATATATACATACACACACACACACACACACACACACATATATATATATATATATATATATATATATATATATATATATATATATATATATATATATATATATATATATATATATATATATATATATATATAATCTGTTATATAGATTTTTTAAATTAGCTTCATTAATAATTTTGAAGTTTACATTTATAAGCTCCCCTATGCACGCTGTGTTCATTAATTAGGATGTCTGAACCTCCCCGTCCCCCACAGAGACGGCCTACATCCTAGTACGGGACATCCAGAACCCCCCAACAATTCTGGGATCTCTCAAGTACAGCCTCAGGTCATGGGGGGTCAACACCACCAACTTTATCCCCGCCAATAACAAGCATTGCTGAGACAATATGATGTTTCCATTGCTGAGACAATATGATGTTTCCATTGCTAAGACAATATGATGTTTCCATTGTTGAGAAAATATTTGATGTTTCTGTTGTTTTTTTGTGTTGTGTCATTTAGGCCAGATTATGAGTTTAAAAACAGTTTCAAATCTGAAAAACGAAATAACCATTTTTGGTGAAATAAAAAATAAAAAATTAAAAAAAATATTTGAATTTTTTTTGTTTTTGAAAATATATCGTAATGTGAAGCCATGTAGCCTACAGATTGTTGTTTATGTGGCGTGTAGGCTGTTATAGTGTGGAAGTGTGGTGTGTGGGTGTTAAAGTGTGGTGTATGGATGTTTAAGTGTGTGTGGTGTACGGGTATTAAAGTGTGGTGTGTGGTGTATGGATGTTCAAGTGTGGTGTGTGGTGTACCGGTGTTAAAGTGTGGTGTGTGGGTGTTCAAGTGTGGTGTGTGGTGTATGGATGTTAAAGTGTGGTGTGTGGTGTACGGGTGTTAAAGTGTGGTGTGTGGGTGTTCAAGTGTGGTGTGTGGTGTATGGATGTTCAAGTGTGGTGTGTGGTGTACGAGTGTTAAAGTGTGGTGTGTGGGTGTTATAGTTTAGTGTGTGGATGTTACAGTGTGGTGTGTGGGTGTTACAGTGTGGTGTGTGGGTGTTATAGTGTGGTGTGTGGGTGTTAAAGTGTGTTGTGTGGGTGTTCAAGTGTGAAAGTGTGGTGTGTGGGTGTTCAAGTATGAAAGTGTGGTGTGTGAGGTAGAAGAGTTTGTGTGGGTATGAAAGTGTGCAAGTGTTTTGTGTGGGTATGAAAGTGTGCATGTGTTTTATGTGGGTATCAAAGTGTGCATGTGTCCAGGTGTGTGTGACAATGTGTTCGAGGCGTGTGACGAAATCGATGCACACAACCTGCAACATGTTTGACATCTGGGTCAGGTTAACCCAGTTAGTAGAAATCTAAAATCTACCAAAATTATTTCACTTGTTCAAATTGTAATAAGTATTGTTGAGTGGGGAGGGGGGGAGGATTGAAGGGAGGAGGGAGTAGAAAGGAAAATATTTGAAAGTTTGTTTTGAAAACAAAAGCTACAAAGGTCTCATGTAAACAGATACAATAGTCCGAAATGAACGCGCAACTGGTAGCAGGAACGTTGTATGCGTGTTCTTCACCGTGGAGAATCTAACAATAAAATATCAGTTGGTTTGACGACACGATCAAGGGAAACAATCATGAAAAACAACGAACATATAATTTTTTTTTTATTATCTACAAACGTACAAAGTTAAGAAAGATATTTGTTTTTACAATACGTAGAAGTATTTTTTAACGGACTGTTCAAACACCTACGGGAGGGGGGGGGGGGGGCTCTGACTTTTGAGTCAATATGGTTCAGATATGCATGTGATGAAAGTGTCGCACTGTTGAATTTTTAAAAAATGTGTTGAATGCAGAGGCTTAGCGACCCTTCCCGGCGCCCGGGGACAAACTTTTCGATTTGCATCCCCCCCTCCCTTCGAGATTTCGATTTGCATTCCCCCCCCCCCCCCTCAACCTTTCAATTTATTTTTCCAACCCATGTTGGCGCCCCCTTAAGGTCGGCGCCCGGGGACATATGTCCCCCCCCCCCCCCTCGCTACGCTACTGGTTAAATGTATTCTTTTAGTTAAATTTTTTTTCTAATTTTGTCTTTATAAATTATTTTTGGTGATCAATGAATCAAAGAATGTTTAAAATTTCAATACAAAGGGAAAATACTCAGTAAATATTTTTACATAAAACTGTCTCCGCTTGGTTATATCCCCTTACTGCAAAAAAAAAAAAAAAAAAAAAAAAATGAAACAACGATTTGAAAAACCCCGAGAACTTTTAAAATAATAATGTTAAAAAGAACTCAAAACATAATAATAGTTCTTTACTTCTTTATTTCACTGCGGCAGTTAAATGTGTAAACACTACGTTAAAAATCTTAATAAAACAATACCGAAAATTTAATAAAAACACTTGAAAATCAACTTTTTGTTGTAATCTTGCCTAGACTTAGGCATAGTCTAGGCTATATTTTCAAGCAAGTGGACACCGCACTGTTTGAAAATGGAAGAAATTGTGTATTTAAGTTGAAGATTTTATACTTTTGAGTGATTTCCGGTAAACGGAAGTGGACTTTTTTTCTACTGTCTTTTGAACATGTCAACTTGAATCATTTCAAGAGGAAGAAATTTTAAATTTTATATATATAAATTAGCTCCTGTTCGTAGAATTTTTTTTAACTTTTGAGCGATTTCCGGCAACCGGAAAACACTACTTTAATCACTTTCGGATTTCTCGAAAACCTTTGGAATATAATACTTGTATAACAAACTTTCAAAAAGTAGCATATCGTAAGAACTTTAAGGCCGAGAAATTTCGCCATATAAAAAGTATAAGGGGGGGGGGGTGCAAATCGAAAGTTTGAGGGGGGTGGGGGGGTGGTGGTGCAAATCGAAAGTTAGAGGGGGGGTGGGTGCAAATCGAAAGTTTGTCCCCGGGTAAAAATTGGAACCCCCCCCCCCCCCTTGCGACGATCCTGGCTACGCCACTGATAGGTAATATTTTAAATTTTACACTTTGGTTATTAGATTGCCGTGTTTACAACTATACTCGGGCTGCTAATTCAAATTTAGATGTTTTTTTGATGTTATATGTTAACGTTTTCTGTGCGCCGTGTGTGTAATGATGTGCTCTATGTGTAAAGATGTGCTCTGTGTGTAAATATGTGCTCTGTGTGTAAAGATGTGCTCTATCTGTAAAGATGTGCTCTATGTGTAAAGATGTGCTCTGTGTGTAAAGATGTGCTTCATCTGTAAAGATGTTAAATATCTTTTTGTAATTGTTGTGATATTGTAGGTCTTTTTATAATTGCTGCGAAATTGTAGGTCTTTTTATATTTGTAGTGATATTGTATGTCCTTTTATAATTGATTTGATATTGTAGGTATTTCTTTTCTTTTTTCGTTCCTTTAAAAAATCTATCTATTAACCCCAACAACCCCCCCCCAGCTTAGGACGACCATTTTTTTTTATCTATAAACTCTCTATCTACCAGACTACCACCCCCCCCCCCCCAGCTTAGGACGACAATTTGTTTATCTATAAACTCTCTATCTACCAGACTACCACCCCCCCCAGCTTAGGACGACAATTTGTTTATCTATAAACTCTCTATCTACCAGACTACCACCCCCCCCCCCAGCTTAGGACGACAATTTGTTTATCTATAAACTCTCTATCTACCAGACTACCACCCCCCCCCCCCAGCTAAGGACGACAATTTGTTTATCTATAAAGTCTCTATCTACCACCACCCCCCAGCTAAGGACGACAATTTGTTTATCTATAAACTCTCTATCTACCCCCCCCCAGCTTAGGACGACAATTTGTTTATCTATAAACTCTCTATCTACCACCCCCCCCCCCAGCTTAGGACGACAATTTGTTTATCTATAAACTCTCTATCTACCACCCCCCCCCCCCAGCTTAGGACGACAATTTGTTTATCTATAAACTCTCTATCTACCAGACTACCACCCCCCCCCCCCCCCCAGCTTAGGACGACAATTTGTTTATCTATAAACTCTCTATCTACCAGACTACCACCCCCCCCCAGCTAAGGACGACAATTTGTTTATCTATAAAGTCTCTATCTACCACCACCCCCCAGCTAAGGACGACAATTTGTTTATCTATAAACTCTCTATCTACCCCCCCCCCCCCAGCTTAGGACGACAATTTGTTTATCTATAAACTCTCTATCTACCACCCCCCCCCCCCCAGCTTAGGACGACAATTTGTTTATCTATAAACTCTCTATCTACCACCCCCCCCCCCCCCCAGCTTAGGACGACAATTTGTTTATCTATAAACTCTCTATCTACTCCCCCCAGTTTAGGACGACAAGTTCCTCTATAGGGCCTAAACAGCTGTCATCTGAAATTTAAGTTAGAGTGGTTTCCCCTGAATCTCTAAAAACATAAACAACATGGCAACTAAAGTAAATGAGCTTGGTTGCATCTGATGAAAAAATCGCTAGTCTTTATTTATTACTGAAAAGTTTTAATACGATTGTTTAAAAGCTGGTACAATAATAAAACTTTAGGTAAAATCTTAGTTTAGCGTCGTAAATTCGGCCAAAACTAGTAATGTGGGAGAGAGTGAATTAATGAATATGTCATTAAATATGAGTATATTTTCGTATATTTTGATAAAGTATTATAGACAATTGAATAATAGATCACCATTGATGGTTAAATCAATTTAAATATCCTGAAATTAATTTTTATCAACCCTGTTCGAGATAGTAAATTTGCTATTAAAAACAGCAGCCATCTTAAGAAAATGTTATTGAGAGTAGCTTCCCTTTCATTTCTATTCATATGAAAATGTATTTAAATATGATCGTCTTGTTGTATAGTCCATATTACAAAGCATTTTTTTTAAAAATGTGAATTTCCTAACAAAGAACTTTATTAATTCTAGAAGCATTGTGAGATGCAACTTGTATCCATGTATTTAATCACGTTTTTTTTTTAAACTAATGTTTATTTGATCTTACTATTACTAAATAGTTGTGAGTTTTTTCTTATTGTTATAATGTTCACTATTTTCATTTCAGTTTCAGGTTTTTCTTTTCATCAATAATAATTATTAGTAATTCTATCGTAACTTATGACATTTTTTTTTACTTCTCTTTACCTTAATTAAACCCCAACCTCCGTCATATTTTTGTCGTCAATGTCACATCAAGTCATAATGTAAAAAATTACGCTTCACTCTGCCTTATCTAAGATCTCTAACCATAATTTTGACAACATTAAATGTTTGTCATCATTTATATATACAGAGAGACAAATGTATTATCCACCAGCTTCCCTCGTAAAACATCATCTAAAACAATGAGCCAGTCCACCCCTTAAGTGCGTGTTGTCATTATGGTCGATTGCAAGTCTCCACCTGCCAGACACATGTTGGTTATCCTTTGTTGTCAAATTGTCAATATCAAGTACACAAGTGAGTGATATGGGGTTGTCCATAAATGATGTCACATATGATTTGCCTCGGGAGTGAGTGAAGATTTGTGACGTCAACTCTGGCGGCTTTGCAATTTATGACGTGTCGGTCTCATGAAAGGAGGTGAACGGGGAAAAATACCTAGATGGTTGATGGAGAACCTGTATAATGCTTTGTTCAATCAAAATAACGATAAATAGGCATTAGTATAGGTAGTCCAAACTGGCGAAAAAGTGCGTTTTAGGGTCAGTTTTTGCGGTTTTCAAAAATAAAATTTCACTACTTCTAGTTGTCCTATAAGAATAAAAATTATATGTCAATAAAGTTTAAGCCTTTATCTGTCGTAATCTGGTATTTGTATATCTGTAACATATGTTTGAATGTGTTTGATATTTGTTTGAAAAGTATCAGTTACGGCAACAAATTTCACCGTTTTGCGTGTACCGATCGACCCCACACTGTTTCATTTGGTTGCGGCTTCGCGACGAAGCATCGTAGAAGCATAATCTTAATGTCATTTTAAAGAGCGAATTCTAGTCTATCGTTTGATGTATAAATTGAAAAAATAACTTGCTTATTTCATTTTAAAAAATCAGTTTTTAAACTTTAAATGACGATATATACACGAAAACAAACTAATTCTGTTTCAATCTTTACACCGATGTAAAGTTCACTTTTATAACTACTTTGTGTTGTAAATTCAAGTCTTTCTGATTTACGATCGCGAAGCCGTACCCTCAATAAGCATATAACCCTCGAGTCAACTTTCAGCCCCTAGTCAGTTGCTCGCCGAACGGTTTTAAAGGTTGACGACCGATGATGCTAAACGGATTTTACCCTTGCTAGAGCCTTCAAACAAGTTGTAAGTATCATTTTTAAAGTTTCATTTCCATTTTAATAAATGAATTTTAAGTTTGAATGTCAGTTTGGTTTAATTAGCACACGTTATTAATGTAAATTTGAACCCTACTAGTCAACGGTTTTAGCGTGTGAACTACGCTTGTACACAGGGTGTGTTTAAACGTGAAGCTATTTAATTCAGGACATTCTAGGGACTTAAAATATGGATGCACTTAACTATTAGATGCTAGTGTTTACTAATTCTTTAAAATCTATCGAATGGGATTAATGATAGGGTCGTATTACTACAGTTTATCTGGACTATCGCGTCAAAATTATGAATCGACAAATTCAAAATGGCCACCAGACATTTTTGGTTACTATGTGGACGAACTCAATTATTTACAGGGAACGAAGGTTAAATACTTATAAAATATTATTGAAACACAAAAGAAACTTATAATTGTAATAACTATACATTTTTATCAATTTATTTAAAACAAAAGACACTAAAGTTTAAGGACTAATGTGATTAATTTTTAATTTTCTGTTGTGCACTTTGATTCTGATTCCCCTGCTGAATAATGTGAAATGGTCTGCGCCAGTCTCCTTAATAAAATGTACCAGATCAATTTTTAGATGGTGGTGCAATTTAATAAGATTGTACATGTTGTGACTTAGTTTTAAATGTTATATTAGTTGTAAGTGTAAGTAGTACTTCTCATTATTTATTTATTTTATATGCATATAGTAACAATGAAGGACAGTTAAGTTGTCCTATATGATGTTGAGAACTACAGTATGGCACCTTCATCATTGGATATCTCAACCATTGTGGCTCAAACAACGAATATTTCATTCAATAGAATTAATGTTCAAAATATACTATCAAGTTTACATTTCTTTAAACAAAAAGGTGTTTTCAGGCTTTTTCATGTTTCCAGCTACAGTCACAGGATAAATAGTAGGCCTACAAAATAGGCTAGTAGTAAATCTAATTATATTTTATTAATCACTAAATCAATTATTTATTCCATAGCTGGAGACATTTATGGTGGCCTATCCAGAACTTTCCTTACAAGGGAAGGGAAGAAGGCCAAGCCCACCCCCCACCCCCAACTACAGTTCCCAAAACATATCACTTACTCTTGATGCTCAACAAGATCAAGGTTGGGGGTTACTAGACATACAAAGATGTGGAGTTGTCGTTTTAAAAACTGTTCCCCCAAAGCAGTTATCAACCCAATGGGTTTGAATGTAGCAGAAACTGCTGCATTACTTGTAGGCATCACGTCTTTATTAGATTACATTACATTACTCCACTAAATTTTGATTCTGTTTCTCCTGCTCTAGATAACTGTGGCATTTTTTAAAAATAATATTTTAACTCATGTGATTTTTGAAAATAATGAACACATTATTCCTGTTAATGTTACCACCAAATAGTTTTAGAGTTATTCTATGTCCAAAGCAAAAAAAAAAAAAAAAAAAAAAAAAAAAAAAAAAAAAAAAAAAATTTGAAAATAAAAGTGACCAAAACGCATTTTTGTCATTTTCAATTATTTTTTTACCTTAGAAAGACTCATTTTAGATGACTGAAAAAAATTGGGCATATATATTACACACTTTGCAGTAACCTTACCAATTTCTACACTTCTATGTTATTTAGTTTAGAAAATATGGGTTCTCAAAAATGGCACTTTTTAAAAATCAGTTTTTTACCAAAATTTGCTTTTTTAAAAATCGCATAACTTTTTTATTTATTAAGATATTTTTATAAAATTTGTGGCATAGAGCTTACAATTAAAAGTTCTTTCATGACATACTCACTCCAGAAGTCTGCAATCAATAGTTAATTTCAGTTTGGACTACCTAATTAGTATATGTATACCTTGCTTAAAACGAATCATCACAAATGTTGCAAGCCTGCTAGTTTAAGACATTCGGCAAACCGGCCGCAACACATTATCCCCGTCAAAAAGGCTTGCCACCAAATGCCTGCCGACGAATAAGCCGCGTCTAATGCGGGGTGTTAGGAATACGGCCATTAGCATGGACCGCGTTAGAGCACCGGTAGGCTATCGCGCTTTGTAAGATGACGTAAATACTTAAATTCAATTTCGCTAAACTGCGCGAAAATTTAGTAATGTTCCATCGTTTGAGGAAATTTATTTTCTTGGACTTAAACTTAAATTGAAATATCATGTTGACTGTCTGGCTCTTAATTTCCGAATATCACTTTTAATGTATCAAGATTCAGAACTATAATTTACTTTAATATAAGTGTCATCTTATCGTTTATTGTGGTTTTTATAAAGCGCAGAGCAGCTACAAAATCGGACGGCCATCCTGTTTTCACCAAGCTTCTTTTGGAGCTTAATATGGGTAGTCTAGTTCTATACGGTGTGAGCTTAATACATTTTTAAAGGGCCGAAAGTATCAAGACAGCAAGCTTGCAGAAATAACTACGTACGTTTAAATGGACGAGTGATAGATGTGTTAGGGGCTGTTTAATGAACACCAACTTATGTAATCAAACTAAACGTCGAAAAAGCGTCAAAAAGGCAGTGCTTTTTTTTCTATAAAATTTGCCTAACGGTCGGCGGTACCGCTACATGACGTCACGTGCGAGCGTTAACTCGGTGACGATGTGCTAAGTGGGGGAATGAAAAAGGTAGGGTTCAAGAAACGCGACTCGGCAAGCTTTTTACATTTCTTGACCCTTCTTAATAGTTCTTTCGTCCCCACTGAGAAAATGGATCACCAATGAATGACGCGTCATACTTCTACAGCTGGTCTTTCCCCCACAACCATCCCGTTTTCACGAAAAAAAAAAACCTGACCCGTCTCCAAAATCACATCGCTGAGTTCTACTCAACCTCTCCCCACCACAAATCACAATTTCTATCTGAAACAATACGTTCATATGTTTGCTCTGTAATAATGCACGCTGTCATTACTATCTTAAGAGCGACGTCATTTATGAGCGATCTAATATTGATTTGCTTACTGCAAATAAAGTGTTCAAAAGTTCGACCTCCCAACAATTGTTGTGGTCTTGGGTGCACACTATTAAGTCTGATAAGGTCTATTAGTCATTCATGTCAACTATATTTAAAAAAAAGAAAAATTACTATACAGGGGGTCACCCATAAATGATGTCACGCTTTTTTGACGATTTTTACCCCCCCCCCTCCCCTCCGTCACACGTCGTCACAAAAAGCCAGACCCCCCCCCCCTAAAATGACGTCACACCTCAGGCTACAACCCCCCCCCCCCCTCAAAATTGCAGTTGAATTTTTTTAAACAGCTATATTTTTCCAAAATCTTGTCTGAACTCTGTCAAAATAGAGTATTTTAATCAATTGTTATTACAATGTATTAAAACAGTTTTTTAAAACGCGCTAAAATTCGTTTTGTAACATTGCTTTTTTAAAATGCAAAAGTGTGACGTCGCACCATCTGAACCCCTCCCCCTCATCACACAACGTCACAAAATTACGGACCTCCCTCCCCCCTACGAGTGTGACGTCTTTTATGGACGACCCCCCCCCCCCCCGGCATATATTAAAACAATACAAAACAATCATATTAAACCACATAATCAACACAAAAGACATGCGAATAGACAATTTATTGTTTTTAAAACATGGCCGCTGCTTGTATTTACTCATTGTTGTCTCGAACGGGGTAGTTTAAAGTTTATTCCGGGATATTTATGACTGGTTTGGTCTTGGATTGTGATTTGTTATTCAATTATCTGTTATGTTATGTAAAATATGACATAAATATGGCCAAATGAAAGAAATATTCATTAGTTACCTTCATCGCACATTACTAGCTACGTTGGAATTTACGACGCTAAACTAAGATTTTACCAAAATTAATTTCAGGATATTTAAATTGATTTAACCATCAATGGTGATCTATTATTCAATTATTTATAATATTTTATTAAAATATACGAAAATATACTCATATTTAATGACATATTCATTAATTCACTCTCTCCCACATTACTAGTTTTGGCCGAATTTACGACGCTAAACTAAGATTTTACCGTTAGGAAATCACTAGGCCTATTTCTGAACTATTTCAGTATTTCTTTATGAATTTTTTGGTTTAGTTTTTTAAATTAATTTTGTAAAAATTTGAGAAAAATTCAAAATTTGGAATATTGAAATTGAATGTGTAGTACTATTTGTGTAGTGTACTAGATTCTAGATCTAGATAATAGATAGATCTAGATCTAGAATGTATTCTATTTATTTCGATTTTTTTTTCTTGAAATTAAAAAATTATGTACAATGTTCATGTCAGTTAAGATTTTCATGGTAATGGGTAAAGTAGAAATGCATCATTGCAAGGCATGATACTATACATTAAGGATGGTATTTAGAATCAACACTTTGAATCCCAGACACATCGTCCCTCTGTGCAGAACACCTTATCAGTTATCAGGTATTATGATAGTTGCTGGGGAATCCAGGGTGTCAAACAGCACGCTGCCACTGTGCTCCTCTGATAATTAAGTTTTGTTTCATCGCAGAAACCTTCCTCAGAGGGTACTCCCAAAGTTTTGTGGCTGTCTGGTTAAATGCATAATAGTATAGTCACATATTTAGATTTTTATCTGTATATAGATTTATGCCTTAGTAGAATCTAGATCTAGATTCTCAAATCTAGATCATCTTGAATGCTAGAAATAAGTAGATATGGATCTGCAAATGTTTTGTTATTTTAGTTGAGATTAGAGGGTAGAAAAAATAATAAAACAAAATTGTTTTCTTTAAAAACTTGTAAAAATATGTAATCAGCCTTTCATCATTTTGTTTGTAGGTACTTGCTCTGGGCAGATGGATTGGCCTCCGTATTATTTTTATTAGTACTAATAAATAGGCCTGCATTTCAGCTAACAAATATAATCAAGCAGCTATCTTCCACCCCAACAACTCCTATTTTTTAGTACATTTTATAATAAATTAATATTAAATTTTCATGCTATTTAATCATTTACTTCATTTTAATAGATGTCTGACTATATTGCCCCTGCCGCTGCTATTTTTCTTCCACAAATTGGAGCAATAGCTGCAGGTTTTAGGAGCAGTGGAAGCATAGAAACATGGTATGAGGTAAGTTTGCTGTAGATAATCCTTACATCTAACCTTTTTTAGCTCAAAGTTACAGGTGTTACTTTCTATGTCAATTGGTTAATAGGCCTAAATAAAAATATCTTCTTAATAAGTTTGGCATGGAACTGTGTGGTTGAGTAGTGGGGCGTTTGGCTGCTAACCAAGGTCTTGAGTTTGGATCTTGGTTTAGACTTGTGATTGTAGTCCACCCAGCTTTGAGGGATACCTGACTTACAATGGGGAAAGTAAAGGCGGCTGGACATAGTGCTGACCACACCATCTCTTTATGTGGCTAGGTCAAAAAACATATGAACTCTTCTTCATCAGCCCAATGGATTGTTAGGTCTAAAGAGGAACTTTACTTAATACGAGCTGACCCATGGCGTACAATACGCCGCTGTTTAGTTGTTTTATTTTCTACTTTTCAGTAATTCATAATTTGTGAATTCGACATTACCAATGCTGCCACTGAAAATATTTGCTTTAAAACACTATCAGTAGCTCGTTGAGGATGATAACCCCCCCCCCCCCACTCCTTCTGTGCATTTATAAAGTACTAATAATATTCCACACTATTATATACATATTGTTTGGCATTCACTTGGTGCGCAATTCTTTTCTCTACGAGATTCTATTCTATTTTAAAAAGTTTAAGTAATTAAAAATGGATTAAGAATCATGTCTATATTCAGAGTTGCCATCCCCCTTAGTGTTATATAAGAATGTTCAAGAAAGTTTAAGGGAGATCACTCTTGGTTTATTTTAAAAATGGTAATGTTTACATTTCAGGGCTTAAAACTTCCCTCATGGCGTCCACCAAACCAAGTCTTTCCACCAGTTTGGACAGCTCTCTACTGTAGTATGGGCTATGCCTCTTATTTGGTGTGGCGTGATGGTGGTGGGTTTGGTGGTGATGCTGCCCTACCACTTGCTGCTTATGGCACCCAGCTGGCTTTAAATTGGGCCTGGTCTCCAATTTTCTTTGGAGCACACAGTCTTAAATGGGTGAGTTCACTTTTTTATTGAAAGATTCAGATTAAGATTTAATGTAGGCCTAAGTGATTTTTTTCTTATCCTCATGAATACTAATTTTATATTAAAAGAAAATGTCACAAAACTCCCAAGCAGTATTTTTTACATTTTCTTTTATTCTTGAAATTTTTATTTCATAGGGTCTGATTGACATAGTCTTCTTGTGGGGAGGTATCGCTGGAACCACCTACCTGTTCCATGGCATCAATGAAACAGCTTCCTACCTCATGCTGCCTTATCTGGGATGGGTCTCATTTGCATCTGTCCTTACTTACAGAATTTGGAGAGACAACCCTGACCCAAAAAAAGAGTAAAGATGAAATGTTACATTTTACAAGCTTCCTCTGTCTGTCATCAGTCTGTCTGTCTAGATCGAAATGGCTGAGCGAAATTGCAGGCACTTCTAACTGACAGATACGGTTCGTAATTGGTATGTGGGTCAAGACAAGAAGACAATGCATCGTGACATTCAATTCCACTTAATTGGTCGCCTGATTAATTTTTTATGAATTAATTAAAATTTTGACCAAATTAGTAGGCAGTTCTATCCACATGTATCATCACGTTCAATGGCTGCGGAATAGTTTTTAGTCGTTTAACTCTATTGTAAATAAAAACATGTAAAGTACTAAAAAATTTTTTCTTAAAATACGTTTTAATAACAAGCTTTTATGTAATAATGCACTAAAATGTAGGAAATAAATTATACGCTACTATTTAAATTACTATAAAGAAAAGCAAGGGTCGCTTCCTAAATATTAGTAAAGGTATCCAATAGATACTAAAGTGACCCACGCTTTTCTTTATAGTAGTAATTTAAATAGTAGCGTATAATTTATTTCCTACATTTTAGTGCATTATTACATACAAGCTTGTTATTAAAACGTTTTTTATGAAAATTTTTTTGCCTTTTGATCTTCCATGCACCAAAAAGAGTATTGAATCCCAGAGTTGTTTTGGTCACTGAGTCAAGTAGATTTTTATTTTTCTTCTGTTGAAGAGTAAGAATCTCTTGCAATTTATGTTTGACTCCAGCTGTTTGTGCAACAGAAAGTTTTCTAAATGTTTTGACTTGGAATTTTTACATTTTTCTACTTGGAATTTATTTTAATTTCTAAATTGACATTCTCATTAATGTATTATAGAAAGTGTAAATGTAAAGTAATTACTTGTATGGGTAATTTTATGATACATAGATAAATGTAAAGTAATTACTTGTACTGGTAGTTTTATGATACATAGATAAATGTAACCTTTTACTGTGCTCTATAATAGCCATAGTTTGTTTAGTCATATTTATCTAGTACAATAGATTATACCGCTTTCATTTTTAAAAAAAATTATTCAGTGACACTATACTACAGTGTTAATGTTTAATTTCATTCACATGAATGTATGCTTTCATTTTTTGCTTTTCCAATTTGTATTCATACATCTTTACTGTAGACCAGGGGTCTCCAAACTTTTCAGTCCGAGGGCTGCATTAATATCAAATTTCAGTTCGAGGCCAGTTTCTTCCAGGCATGTCTTTGATTTTTCTGGGCAAAGTTCCTCAGCCATCACCAACAAATGATTTTTTCCGTGGACAATAAGATCTCTGCGGGCCGGATGAGAGGACATCCCGGGCCGCATCAGGCCCGCGGGCCGTAGTTTGGAGACCCCTGCTGTAGACAATCAAAATATAAAATCTAACCAGCCTCATACAATTTAGTTGTCTAGACAAATAACATCTGTATTGCTGTGTCATCTAAATTAAATATTTACTAGTTCAAATCATATTGAAATATTGAACTTCATTGGATAAAGGGAAAGATGTGTCACGTGACTCACTAATCACATGGTTACAGTGTATCATATTTCAGTATAAAACAGCTCACTTCTGTTATGTATTTAACAATTAGTACCGTTATAATATGGTACTTTAGGAAATGCTTTCAGTTTCAAATAGGAATTGCAAAAAATGGTTATGTTATTATCTGTTTCTATTTTTACTGTAATTTCTTAAGTAATGAAGAGTCCTTTTTAGGAAAATGTTTACTGCCATGCTTTTTTTTACTCGTAATATTTGTTCAATTTTTATCCTCTTTTACCATTATGTGTGCAATTAAGGGGAGACCACTGTGATCACCCTGATAGACATTTATATAAGTCATTGTTATTTCACTTCACAAGAGCCTTGTTAAACAAGAATTACATCAGCAACATGAAATGTTAAACCAAGGTGACTTGTTAATCAATTCAACTAGTTTTATTATGGACTTGTGTAATATAATAAGCATCTATGTGTGATCAGAATTTTTCATTGTAGAAAATAAATAGTTGATTTGTTATACACTTATTGGTTTTTGTTCATATTTTTGCTTTATAATAAATAAATTGCAGTAACTTTTAAAAATATTTAATTCATTGTCTCACTATAAGGGGTCGGTGTGGTCAGGTTGGTACAGCTTGTTGTTGCTAAACCAATGAGTCCCTAGTTTAAACTCCTGGGCAGTTGAGATTACACCACATATGCTGTCGTGTACTCTTGCATACAACCTTCAAATATCTTTGGTATATTGTTAGGTCAGTCCATATATATATATATATATATATATATATATATATATATATATATATATATAATATATATATCATCTGTTATATAGATCTTTTTAATTAGCTTGATTAATTTTTTTGAAGCTTACATTTATAAGGTTCGATATGCACACTCCGTTGATTAATTAGGATGTTTGAACCTCCCCGTCCCCCACAGAAACGGCCTATATCCTAGTACGTGACATCCAGAACCCCCCAACAATTTTGGGGTCTCTCAAGTACAGCCTCAGGTCATGGGGGGTCAACACCACCAACTTTATCCCCGCCAATAACAAGCATTGTTGAGACAATATGATGTTTCCATTGCTGAGACATATCTGATGTTTCCATTGTTGAGACATATCTGATGTTTCCATTGTTGAGACATATTTGATGTTTCCATTGTTGAAGAAATATTTGATGTTTCCATTGTTGAAGAAATATTTGATGTTTCCATTGCTGAGACATATCTGATGTTTCCATTGTTGAGACATATCTGATGTTTCCATTGTTGAGACATATTTGATGTTTCCATTGTTGAAGAAATATTTGATGTTTCCATTGTTGAAGAAATATTTGATGTTTCCATTGCTGAGACATATCTGATGTTTCCATTGATGAGACATATCTGATGTTTCCATTGTTGAAGAAATATTTGATGTTTCCATTGTTGAAGAAATATTTGATGTTTCCATTGCTGAGACATTTCTGATGTTTCCATTGTTGAGACATATTTGATGTTTCCATTGTTGAAGAAATATTTGATGTTTCTATTGTTGGGAAAATATTTGATGTTTCTATTGATGAGAAAATATTTAATATTTCCATTATTGAGAAAATATTTGATCTTTTCATTGTTGGAAAAATATGATGTGCTCATTGTGTTATGTTATAAAACGATGAAAACAAATTCTTGTTTTTGAAATTAAATTTTTGTAAACACTTCGCACCAGCAATGTTGAGCGATCCATGTGTAAGAAAAAGTAAATGAAAACAAGTAGAAACGTATGACATATCTTAACTCCTTTAACTACAACAGCTGGTTAATTTATATCTATAACATGTGTTATCTTCTTCCTAATCATGAATAATTCTCTTTAGCATCACAGGGCTTTAGAAAAGACAAACAATGTTAACTGAATGTTAACTGAACGTTTTGAGCTTTAGAGTTACTGTGTTTTATTGTTTTCAAATAAATAAAACTGGTGAATATCAAAATGATATAAATCTTAAATTATAATTGTAATTTTTTTTGTAAGTATGCATGTTACAATTATATATTTCAAAATTGAATTTCATTTATTCATATCTTAAACAAGTTAATAAAAAGTCTAGTGACAATTTAAGCGCAATTTCCTTAATTAATTTTTTGTGACCGAACGGAAGGATATTTTTGAAAACTTTCTTCGGCAATATTGTTCTAAATTATGGCAGGAATCGATTGGTAAATGTTTCAAGTCGCTAAGTGGTATGGTTGCCGAGATATGGGCAAAAAAACTGCATTTTTTCGTGGTTTTTTGGCTTTTCCGGGAAATCCAGGAAGGAATTCCGGGAATTTTGTCGGCCCACAATCGTCCTCGGAACTTGCTTAACATATTTGCTTTTGGAACTAGTCCTCTATATTGCTTCGTTGAGGAGGAGATACGACTTAAAGCTGCGGACACACATCCACTACCAGAAATGACAAGTTAATAATCGCAATTGTCCAGTATGGAAATTGCGCTAAAAATACCACGGCCACTTTGTAATAATTAAAGGGAAGCAACCGTCTTAAAAGTAATTGTTTTTAATAACCCGCTTATTTCCCTTATTACTCCACATACTGGTGGATCTATTTTGAAATGTTACTTGTCGTATTCTGAATCAACCCTCACTAAGTTTACTAATCTGTATTACTGTGTATATGTGTGTATAACAGTATATAGTATATTATATACATAATCAAGTGTGTATATCTGGAAATACACTGCATAAAGCTGCAAGTCTTCTTCACCATCTTTATTTTATATTTTATAAACACACTGTAACAGAGTTAACCTTAAATTCACTTGACAACTTCTATGTTAACTAACTCTCTGTTCGGCCTTTCAAATGTTTTTCTTACATTTCTTCTGGTCCGTGAAATTTACACATCAAAGGGAAATAATTCAAGAAACAGATTTTGACAAGTCATAACAAATAGCCTCCCTTTCCTTGTGTAAAAACAAACAACGGAACCCGGCAGGAAGTGATGTTAAAACATGCATTTTTTTTCTCTGTGTAACCAGCGCGTTATACTGAGTATGAAGATTTGTTCTGTGTAGTTAGTGCGTTATACTGGGACTGAAGATTTTTTTCTGTGTAGTCAGTACGTTATCATGGGTCTAAAGAATTTTTTTTTCTGTATAGCTAGTGGGTTATCGTGGGTCTAAAGATTTCTACGCATCATAGACATGTTCAAAATAATTTTTTGTTTGTATTCTAGTCTAAAATCTGCTTCTTATGATGGGTTATGTCTATATTGATCTCAGTTACGTTTTTTTATGTCTGTTACATTGGGTCCAAATTTTTAAATATATATTCTACTTGGACTAAAATAAAACAAAGTTTTGTTAGTATATTATATTGCGTGTAATTTGTAGCTCGAGTATGTGTAACAAAAGCAGCTCTAAAATATTTGTTTACACTTTCATACTGCGTCTAAAATATTTGTTTACACTTTCATACCGCGTCTAAAATATTTGTTTACACTTTCATACTGCGTCTAAAATATTTGTTTACACTTTCATACTGCGTCTAAAATATTTGTTTACACTTTCATACTGCGTCTAAAATATTTGTTTACACTTTCATACTGCGTCTAAAATATATTTTTGTGCTACACTGAGTTTGGAATTATTTGTGTGTGAGTGTTGAGCTAGGTCTAAAATATTTTTGTCTCTCGGTGCGATATTGATAAGAAATCAATACAGGCGACGATAATTGATTTGGCCGACACACCATTCGGATAGTGCGTCTAGCACGCCACGTCTATAAACGCCTCGCTATGCCCTCTGGGTGAACGAAAGAATCAGGGGCGTAGCCAGTACACATAAATAGCGTGGGGTTCAAAAGGCTAGACTCATGGGTCTAGCCAATGATGGATTAACGTATGAGCTAATCTAGCTATAACTTAGGGCTCCCACTTTCTTGGCCCTTTTCCTTCTCCAAAAGTATTTTCTTGAAACCGAGGTGGGCATTTTTTCATCAAATTACTTTTTAACATTAATTCCTAATTTTATTTTCTTTTTTTCCAAACCGTGGCGAAGGCCAATATTTATTTCTACTACAATTATAAACACACTTTTTGTTGTTGGCAAACGTCATTAAAAAAAAAAAAACATTGGGCACTGACATAATATCTGACTTTTTAAAGTGTTCCCTATACATATAATTTAGGCGTTATCAAAGCTAAATCCGGTCCTGGATTTAACTAAAGATTTAAACATTCTTTACAACAAATATGATTTTATATTTGGTCTTGATTAACTGCTTCTGAATTCTGATACTCTTTAAATTGTTTGAAACTTCCATGAGTGTAAATTAGGTCAACACGTACATTGACCCAAACCCTAGCCACGCCCCTGAAGCAGATTTTTAAAGCCTCACTTTTCGCACTGTGGAACATTCCAGTCCAGCCGAGCCACAATGGACTACCAGCAGTAGGAGATTTAGCTCAGGGTTTAGCTCCAGGGTTAACTCAAGTCCTATAATCCATGCCTGCAGCTTAGCATCGTTTGACTTCTGACCCTCTGCAACACGCTGGTCAAACAGGATATTTTTTTCGTTTAAAAAGTTGGATTTAAAAATTAGAGGAACAACCCGAGAGATTTTTTAAAGACAAAATGATTTCTTAAAAAGTGGGATTTAAATATTAGAGAAACAATTCTTGGAATTTTAAAAAGAACAAATAATTCCTTGAAATTTTTTTAAACACCTTGTTGTTTAATAGTGCTATGTTTCAGTGAACTGTGGTAAAGAGTAGGTTCTCTGTGACGTTCGCTTGATGCTGGGACTAAATTTGATTCAATGTTTACGTAAATGTAATGGGCGTAACGGGGTTAATAGAGGATACATTTTCAACAAGACAACTGAATTTTTAAAAATCTTTAATCCGTATTTTGGATATAAAAATAATTATTTGAATCATAGATCTAAGTAAAGAATTAAACACATTTGTTAAAATTTAACAAAACAATTTTTAATAATTTAAATTTGTAGATGTTGAAATTATATTTTGTATTTAGATTTAGTCGGACAAAGCTTAACACATATTTCTTGCCTGAGACAGGCTAGCGAGAGTTGTCTCTCACTTGAGTACAGGGTACAAACCGCCGGCAGGTGGCGCCTCGCTGTAAGGGGGCGGGACCTGCATGGCCTCCTCATAACATGGCGGCTGGAGCGTGACGTCATACTTGTCCAGGGGGAGAACCGTGTCGTGGTTGACCTCGGTGACCTCCCCTGGGATGATCCCCGCTTCCTTCCCTTTGGTTTTCAGCAGCGCCGCCCGATTGCCCAGTCTCTCGGCTTTCCTCTCTAGTTTCTGCTTCCTCCTAGTACTGCAGTGGTCGGCCCGGTACTGTAGACAAACAAACGCGAGTTAGTTGGCTGTTGTATGCTTATTAAACTCATTAGCCATGATTGATCGTTAGTTTGTGTGTGTATGTGTGTGTTGCGATTTTCCGTAGTCTGGACTGTACACACACATCCCAGTCATTTAGTTTGTTTAAAGACCGATACACGGAAATCAAACCGATATCCAAGCCAGTTAGTGGAGTTTGTTGAGGCATGCCTGGCTAATGGAAGACAATTTTCTCAGCCGGTGATGTCCGTAAAGAAAGAAAGAAAAGGTAAATAAAAACTAAAAAGGAAAGTCATGATTTTGGGTGACAGTTTTTGTCATTGTGTGGTAGATTTCCTTTCGAAGATTTTCTAAGCACGATCTAGCGACATATGGAAGACAATCCTGTAAGATCCTGTAAGGTATTAGAGTGGCATGGAGGAGAAAAGGGGAGAGATAGGATAAAATGGCTTGAACTTGTGTACAAAGTGTGTACGAAAGTTTAAATAGAACTTGTGTGTACCTTACATGGAACTTGTGTACAAAAGTTTACCTAAAACTTGTGTACAAAAGTTTACCTGGAACTTGTGTACAAAAGTTTACCTGGAACTTGTGTACAAAGTGTGTACAAAAGTTTACCTGGAACTTGTGTACAAAAGTTTACCTGGAACTTGTGTACAAAGTGTGTACAAAAGTTTACATGGAACTCGTGTACCAAAGTTTACCTGGAACTTGTGTACAAAATGTGTACAAAAGTTTACCTAGAACTTGTGTACAAAGTGTGTACAAAAGTTTACCTGGAACTTGGCTGCCTTGTAGTCCAGCTTGGCGGCCTTGACCTCCAGACGACCCAGTTTTCTCGACATTTTCCTCTCAACTTTCTCCTGGTGCCGCTCTGTTCGTCTGGAACATTAGACGTCATCAGGGTCATATGTACAGTCTCAAGGTCAACCAGACTAACAAAGTCAGGGTAACAAAGTAACAGATTAACTCACAAAGTCAACCAGTTACAATATCAGACTAGCAAAGTCATTTAGTGTTACAAAGTGAGTGGACCAACATATCCACTTGTCTAAAATAGAGTCAATCACTCTAATAAAGTCACTCAATCTTACTAAGTCATTCACTCTACCTAATAGAGTCAATCGTTATTCAAACAACTGTTCTAGCCTAGCTGTCGGTCAGCATTTGATTGCCAGCCTGTCTTACACGTTGATCCACAACACACAGACAGACAGACCGACAGACAGACAGACAGACACACACACAACACACACACCACACACACAAGCACTAACAGATAATAACTCAGGCAGATACACACGTCTATCGATACACACACACACACCACACACAAACACACAGAATATTACACACATAGTAAAACACAAGCACACACACATATATATATATATATATATATATATATATATATATATATATATATATATATATATATATATATATATATATATATATATATATATATATATAAAATGTATATATCTTTACTAAAGCTCAATAAGAGAACTCACAAGTGACTAAAAAAACCTGTGTAGAGAGAACTCAGCCAGTCCATTTTAACTTCTAACAAGTAAACAGTTATCTTGTTTACTAGATCTTTGTTAACAACTGTAATGGGAATTCCCGAACGACGCGCGCGACCAAATGGAATTTCCGAGAAAATGGCTTGACGTGGTTTACGATTTTCAATAAAAAGAATGGATCGTCAACAGTGAGAGTTTCCCGCTATGATAATTAAGTTAAAATAGCTGTAGTTATTTATAGGCACGAAGAGTTAATCGACTTTTACGTGGAGCTTTTCTTCGAGAAAGTTAGCTGGTTGTTCTAGAAAAACCTAAAAATAAAACTTACTTCTACTTTCAGGTGGTATGAAATAGGTATGAAATTTCTTTTAATTCTAACACCAAATCTAGCTTAAAACCTGTATCTTGATGTATACATAAATCTAATCCTAAATTAATCTATTAATATAAACATTAACCTTTGTCTGGATTCTAATTAAGTAGCAACCTAACCCTAATTCTAACCATTATACCATTACTGATGGGTCTTTGATAAAACACGTGCATGCTCATTATCCTTGTGTGTGAGTTTGCCAGTTGGCTGCGTGTTTTATGGTACTCACTGTCTGATAGTATCAGGCGAGCCTCACCCTGGGGAAATAAGCTACGTCTGTGCTGGGAGTCACAAGTAGAGAGTCACACAAGTAGGGAGTCACACGAGTAAGGAGTTACACAAGTAAGGAGGCACACGAGTAGGGAGTCACGCAAGTAGGGAGTCACAAGTGGGGAGTCACAAGTGGGGAGTCACAAGTAGGGAGTCTCAAGTAGGGAGTCACACAAGTGGGGAGTCACAAGTAGGGAGTCACAAGTAGGGAGTCACACAAGTAGGGAGTCACAAGTAGGGAGTCACACAAGTAGGGAGTCACACAAGTAGGGAGTCACAAGTAGGGAGTCACAAGTAGGGAGTCACACAAGTAGGAAGTCACAAGTAGGGAGTCACAAGTAAGGAGTCACACAAGTAGGGAGTCACAAGTAGGGAGTCACAAGTAGGGAGTCACACAAGTAGGGAGTCACAAGTAGGGAGTCACACAAGTAGGGAGTCACACAAGTAGGGAGTCACAAGTAGGGAGTCACAAGTAGGGAGTCACACAAGTAGGAAGTCACAAGTAGGGAGTCACAAGTAAGGAGTCACACAAGTAGGGAGTCACAAGTAGGGAGTCACAAGTAGGGAGTCACACAAGTAGGAAGTCACAAGTGGGGAGTCACAAGTAGGGAGTCACACAAGTGGGGAGTCACAAGTAGGGAGTCACAAGTAGGGAGTCACAAGTAGGGAGTCACACAAGTGGGGAGTCACAAGTAGGGAGTCACAAGTAGGGAGTCACACAAGTAGGAAGTCACAAGTAGGGAGTCACAAGTAAGGAGTCACACAAGTAGGGAGTCACAAGTAGGGAGTCACACAAGTAGGGAGTCACACAAGTAGGGAGTCACAAGTAGGGAGTCACACAAGTAGGGAGTCACACAAGTAGGGAGTCACACAAGTAGGGAGTCACACAAGTAGGGAGTCACACAAGTAGGGAGTCACAAGTAGGGAGTCACAAGTAGGGAGTCACACAAGTAGGAAGTCACAAGTAGGGAGTCACAAGTAAGGAGTCACACAAGTAGGGAGTCACAAGTAGGGAGTCACGCAAGTAGGGAGTCACAAGTGGGGAGTCACAAGTGGGGAGTCACAAGTAGGGAGTCACAAGTAGGGAGTCACACAAGTGGGGAGTCACAAGTAGGGAGTCACACAAGTAGGGAGTCACAAGTAGGGAGTCACAAGTAGGGAGTCACAAGTAGAGAGTCACACAAGTAGGGAGTCACAAGTAGGGAGTCACAAATAAGGAGTCACACAAGTAGGGAGTCACAAGTAGGGAGTCACACAAGTAGGGAGACACACAAGTAGGGAATCACAAGTAGGGAGTCACAAGTAGGGAGTCACAAGTAGGGAGACACACAAGTAGGGAGTCACACAAGTAGGGAGACACACAAGTAGGGAATCACACAAGTAAGGAGTCACACAAGTAGGGAGTCACACGAGTAGGGAGTCACACGAGTAGGGAGTCTTCATTTTTTTGTTGTGTGCATACTTATTTCCACCTTTGTTGTGATCTTTTCCATCTTATGATAATCTCACACTTATATTTTCATTTGTACAGTTCCAATCATGCATTGAGATACCCACATGTACTAGTTCATTCACCCAACACACTATTTTCTACAAAAAAATTATGATCAGCAAAAACAATAATAGAAAGGATTCTTCGAGCGACAGACGCTTTTACTTGAATATGTAAAGAAATAAACGTTTGTTCCCCCTGCTCTCACAAAACCCCCATCTTAAATACGGTTCCCAGAAAGAACCGCAACGGAAAAAAGCGCAACGGAAAAAAGCGCAAACGGAAAAAAGCGCAAAGAGAAAAAAGCGCACACGGAAAAAAGCGCAAAGAGAAAAAAGCGCAAACAGAAAAAAGCGCAAAGCGAAAAAAGCGCACACAGAAAAAAGCGCAAACAGAAAAAAGCGCAAACGGAAAAAAGCGCAAAGAGAAAAAAGCGCAAACGGAAAAAAGCGCAAACAGAAAAAAGCGCAAACGGAAAAAAGCGCAAACGGAAAAAAGCGCAAACGGAAAAAAGCGCAAACAGAAAAAAGCGCAAACGGAAAAAAGCGCAAACAGAAAAAAGCGCACACAGAAAAAAGCGCAAACAGAAAAAAGCGCAAACGGAAAAAAGCGCAAACGGAAAAAAGCGCACACAGAAACAGAAAAATGCGCAACCAGAAAAAACACAACGAAAAATGTGCAAAAGAGAAATTTAGCACAAAGACCATATGGACTAGATGACACATTTATACATGACTGTTAGGGCTGCTGTGAGAGTGTCGTGTTTGATCACGTGATCTACTACCATTTAAAGCGTACCATTTCCGTTTGCGCTTTTTTCTGTTTGCGCTTTTTTCTGTGTGCGCTTTTTTCTGTTTGCGCTTTTTTCCGTTTGCGCTTTTTTCTCTTTGCGCTTTTTTCCGTTTGCGCTTTTTTCCGTTTGCGCTTTTTTCCGTTTGCGCTTTTTTCTGTTTGCGCTTTTTTCCGTTTGCGCTTTTTTCTCTTTGCGCTTTTTTCCGTTTGCGCTTTTTTCTGTTTGCGCTTTTTTCTGTGTGCGCTTTTTTCTCTTTGCGCTTTTTTCTCTTTGCGCTTTTTTCTGTTTGCGCTTTTTTCTGTGTGCGCTTTTTTCTCTTTGCGCTTTTTTCCGTTTGCGCTTTTTTCTCTTTGCGCTTTTTTCTGTGTGCGCTTTTTTCTCTTTGCGCTTTTTTCCGTGTGCGCTTATTTCCGTTGCGCTTTTTGTTTTGCGCTTTTTTCCGTTGCGCTTTTTTCCGTTGCGGTTCTTTCCGGCCACCCTTAAATACACAATCCTTTTCCCTTATACCTCCCCCCCACACACACACACACATCTTATTTAGTAAGACTACCACCACTTAAAGATGTGATGTTTCCTCTTGACAAAGACAAATAACTATACACATTCCGTGGTCACTGAATTTGATGAAATCTCTCTCCCCTTCCGTCTACCCCCCCCCCCCCTTCACACACACACTTCTAAAACACCCACCTTTAATAATAATTCCAACTATGAAAATTAATACGTTGTAAGAATAAAAGGTCTTAGGTGGAATGCTATTTCTAATAAACCAAAATAGTATTCCAACATTGAGTAACGTATTGACTTACCTGAAATCAGTGTTTCTTTCAGACATTTTCATGTTTTCTACGGAGGAAGGGGGGGGGGCTTTAAAACTGGCAGTGGTTGAAGTTTTTTTTTGCATACAACTTCTATTTCGTTTTGAGGGGTGGGGTGGTTCGCGACCTTTTGAGGGGGTAAGGGGCGGTTCCTCGACGAAGAAATGCCTGAAAGAAACTCTGCCAAGAATCTAGGGTCTTTTAACTTACATAAATCAACTCTTTTACTTGTTTATCGATATTTTGTTCTAATTATTTTTATCCATCATTATGAATTAATATTTTTACCCATTTAAAAAATTGTATTTGAATATTTGATTTTTTTTTACCTCAATGTTTTTCGGTGAATTTGTTTTTCTAAATTAGAAGTTTGTTTGGATATGCTTTTATGTTTTTGAATGCACTCGTCTGTTGTCATGGTAACGCTTCTAGTCATAATGTTTTTTTTTAAATGACACGAATAATAGAGAAAACAGAGCCAAACAATGCATGAAAATTCTAGAACATACAGTTTTTTATCGTAATTAAGTTCACAAAGATGTTGGGTCAGAAATGTCACCTTCTCTGGAAGTTAATTAAAATTGGCTAACACGCTAATGAACTGATTGAACTTACTTTCTGTGGGACTCAGCAAGGAGCCCACGTAGAGATGGTAGCAGCCCTTCGCCCAGCATTGTGTGCTTGTGTATGATACTTCCGACACACTGTGTCTTACGATGTGTCCTGCTGTATGTAGGTACGTATGTCAGGTTCTGACAGGCTCGTGAATTTATTTTAGGGACTTCCGGGTTATTAATAGACCACTGGGAGCAGGGGAGGTGTAAGGCGCAAAAAATAAATTAATGAAAAGTTAGAAATTTGATGATAAGAAGGTGTTTTCAAACTAGATGAAGTAAAGGTTGATTAATATTAATTAAAATATAATGTTAAACCTTCCATCTTTTATTAGTCGTCCAGGTTTTGTTGGATGAAGGTGGAAGGGGGGGGGGGGGGGGGTACGAGCTTGAGGGCGGGGCAAACACATGACGGGACTAGGTCAAGGAGACACGGCCATGACGGAAGTGGAGGTCATAGAGGAGATGGCGCGATTATCATGGCGGCTCTAGAAACTTCTAAAGACGTGTAAATACGTTCGACTGGAATGTGCACGGCCGTGTTTGTTGGGGAGTCGACCGATGGGTGGGGGGGGGGGGGGGGATGTTGACAAGATTACTGAAGTAACCAGGTGTGGTGGGGGGATGTTGACAAGATTACTGAAGTAACCAGATGTGGTGGGGGGATGTTGACAAGATTACTGAAGTAACCAGATGTGGTAGTGATGTATGCTCAAACAAAGACGTGTAAAACATTTTTTTTCTTGAACATTCTATAACCCTTCGTGAGTGCAGTCG